GCTGATTCCTAAATACAATCCTTCAAAGCAACAATCTAGCTTTGTGATAACTTTTTCCTAAAAAGCGGAATAGGCAGAATTATAAGATTTCTGACGCTGAGGGCATCTTGTACCTGCTACCCAAAGCACATGAGTGACGTACAACGTCCAGTGATACGCACTTTTTCAAAGTTCTAAGTTATCGACTAAATATTATGTTGGCCAAATAATAATTTCGGTCGAGTTTGCACGTTTCTCACGAGTTCTCTATTGAAGTTTTATGAGCAAGTATGGCACTATTTGGAAAGGGCACCTCACGTGAGTAGTAGGATGTAGCCTCATCTCAATGGGTATACATTTCAGATGCGCGACCAAAAATTTGGGCTTCTCTTTTGCACATTGTACGATTTCAAAACAAGAAAAAAGTGTAGCAGAAGCCCATCAACTTTGTGCAGTGCTTTTGAAGAGGAGATCGTAAGTGAACGGCAGGTCCAGAATTGGTTTAAACGTTTTCGAAATGGAAACGAAACCTTAGAAGACGCTTTTGCGATGACCGTGAATTAAGGGAGATAAGACGGATCCAACTCAAACCATATGAGAGCTGGCTAGAAAGCTTAACTGCACACAAACACCATCAAAAATCACCTATGAGCTTGGAAGACGAACAAATGCGGAAAATGAGTACCGCACTAAACCGAAATTATCTTTTGACCAACCAAGTAAGATTAGTGTGAGCGAAAATGCGCTCAAATGTTTCGGCATACGCAAAGGCCTAGGAAGAGTCAAAAATGAAAAGGACCAACCTTTTGTGTATGTAATTGTCTGCTTCTTTTTTGCTTCTGTAAATGTCTTCAAATCTTCATTGCTGATCGTAGTCTTAATGCTCTGATTTGTAGCATAAAATTCAACGGCGTCTGTAGGAGAGTTCATCATTCCGAGCATTTTTTGATCTAAAATGTGTGTTTGCAGAAATGTTGAGTTTTTTTCTAAAAACTGATACGAAATAATTGAAATGACGATTACAGACAAGCTTGGTAGTTTTATGGTATTTTATTCAACGATATAAGGTAACTTTGTAATCGATACTGGCAAACGTTGACGCCATACAAAATCAGATTAGGAAAAAAACAGGTTAAAATCAGATTTTTTAAAGGGTAAGCTATAGAGAAAGTTGTGTGTATATATACTACCGATGTAGGAGGATCATTTAAGAAATTCATTTCTAGTGGAGTAGTGTAACACTAAAAAAAGAAGTTACATGTACTTTAACTGATTCTAGACCATGGTCTAGACATAAACAATGGATGATTCACATTTGTGAGAAGTATGATATGAATGCAAATGAGCTGCAAATGAGCGCGGCGTTTTCTTCTAGTAGCCGACGATAAAATCTTCATGAGTCACTTTGAATGTAAAGTAAAGGATTCATAAAAGAAGGAGTCACTTTTAAATAGAATGTAAGAAGTGACATTTTTGGATTAACGAATAGGGATAGATTAAAATTTGTCTTTAGCAAAGTACTTTAAATTACAAAGGAACCAATGAACTCTGCAATTACCACCTGTCTTCAAGGGATAATTTTGAAGATTCAGAAGAAGAAAATGCTGCCAAAAGTGGAAAAGAGGTGTTGAACTGAGAACATTTTCGTTTGTAAAATGCGTAATCGTAGTCGTAATCATTCCGTTTCGGTAAAGCACCTACTGATAAAAAGCTTAGTTCGACATTTCTCAGCCATCTCACTTTGAGTGTAAAACCGTCCAGTAACAAT